TTGGCTCCCGAGGACAGCGTTATATCGAGGTAGAGGTGTATAAGGTGAACACCACTTATACGTGCTGAGTATTTATCATTATGGTGATGGTTATAAACATCATCGTGGATTTGTTGTATCAGTCAAAGGACAAAATTGCAATACTGTGATGAAAGGCCTCAAACCACACAGCAGTTTAACAGTATCAGTATAGCAAACTGGTAAGCACTGACCTGCTTTTCTCTCCCAAAGGCAATAAATATGTAAGTCTGGGTTAGTTTACAGTCTTGAAAGCACCACCTTCTTTGGGAACAGGAAGAGTGTGAAAACCGCCTACAAAGCCTGCTGTCATTAGTGGGTGTCAAAGCCCACAGCTAGTCAATAATTATGAGAAGCCAAAAAGGCAGCGGGAACATGGCTAATTGAAGCAAAAGAGACGACAGAAAATGGGAGTGAAGTATGGCTTTTACTCTCTTTTATCTTTACTCTTACTCTTTTTTAGGAAGAGTGTAGTGTATATGGTTCTAATTCAGTCATTCCTCTACAGTGATCGTGATGTTTGAGTTAGTAGTACATTTGGAAGTATATTTCATGAACTGTGAAGTAGACTTTTTTTAAAAAAAGGAGAGAGATGCTGTTACTTGCATTAGTTCAGGCCTGTGTTTATTTGGAAAGGATGGAGGAGAAGAGCTCCCGGCTGATGGGATGCACAGCAGGACTCCTGGAACACAGTTCTGCGTGAGACCAGATACTGAAATTCAATGAAAGAAAATCAAAATATGGAAATGGTTTTGACACTCTGTGACCATTTCTAGTTCTTTATGGACCCAATCTTTACTTGGGTAATTTCCCTTTTGACTTCAGTGAGAGATTTGCTTGCGTATAGACCCTTAGGAATTGGCCCTAAAAAAGGAAGTGTTCTTCAGGGGAGAAAAGTAACTTACAAAGAGGGGGTGTATCATGAAGAGAGGAGATCTATAATGGATATCAATTCAAACAGGACTAGCCATAGCCTTAGTGATGCCCCAAATTAGAGCAGTCTTACAAAGAGGGAGTACTGCAATTTAGTAATCAAGAGTGATTTGTAGCAGTAATTGTGGCTCATTGAGGAGCCCAGGAGCGTGGGGGGAGGTGGGTTGGAGGGATTTAGTTTGAGTTCATTTGCAGTTTTGTTTGTCACACAGCTGTGTGTTTTCGTTGTGAAAGTCAGGCTGAGTAAGAAGCCTCACGGTGTCCTTCCCAGTTGGTTCAGCAGAATGCTTTTATACTCTGCACAATTTCCAGTCAAGTATCACAGTGGTGCCCAGAGACCTGCCCATCTCTTTAGTAGAAGCTCTTAAAAGCCACAGCAGTGGAAAACATTGAGTCAGGGCATGGTCGGTTAGATGTGCCTTAGCCCCAGGCACTTTAAAAAAAAAAAAGGAGGGGGTGGGGGGAAGGGTTTCCTTTGAATCATGATTTCCTGAATGGAAAGTGAAAACCATTTTGTTCTTCAAAACAGAGCAACTTCCAGTGAAGTCAGAGGGTATAAGGAGTTTTCTGGTTTCTTCTTTGTTCCTCTCACGGATTTGCTCTGCACAATCATGCCATTTCTAGCCTTGATTCAGCAATCCCCAGGCTGTGTATCTGGCACCACATCACAGTGAGCATTTCTCTAGGCAGTCAGCTCTGTATGCCATCCTGTGAAGAGCCACATGCCTTAACCAAGTATCAGAGGGGTAGCCGTGTTAGTCTGAATCTGTAAAAAGCAACAGAGGGTCCTGTGGCACCTTTAAGACTAACAGAAGTATTGGGAGCATAAGCTTTCGTGGGTAAGAACCTCACTTCATCTGAAGAAGTGAGGTTCTTACCCACGAAAGCTTATGCTCCCAATACTTCTGTTAGTCTTAAAGGTGCCACAGGACCCTCTGATGCCTTAACCAGGCTACCTTTCTTTCTCTGCCTTTATGGCAAAGCAAATGTTCTCATAAGCGCCCCCACCTCCTCCAAAGTAGATTACTGTGCTCCTCCAGCCTGTGCTTTTCTGTTTTTCTGCTTCTTCAGCAAAGCGCAGTGAAACATACGCCTAACTCCAATTTTTTTTCCCCACTTGGGCTTTTGTTATAATAGCTCAGTGGTGTAATGAGGAACATATTTTAACAGATGTGTCACATTTTATACTCGATGAGATTCTTTTTTTAAAAAAAGAATGTGACTTATTTTTTTCACAATAAATTGATTAAACTTATGTGCTTCAGTAGAAAAAAAAAAGAAATGTAGACTGAGAGCTGGAGATTAGAAAATGTCATGGAGTTTGGAGTTCGAAACTTTCAAACTATTTTGGGAGTCTTGGAAAGCTAGTTCAAGTTTGTGAGCTATTTTTTCCTGTAATTGAAATGCCTGTGCCGCCCCCCCCCCCCCCCCCCGACTGATTCATTTAATTAGAGTAGAAAAACAAGCTGTGTTTGTAGCTAAAAGGAAATTTGTTCTGTATATTTCAAAAAGAAAAATAGCTCCCCACCTACCATATCTTTCAAAATATCTAGGTGGGAAGTCTGTGTATATAGGCACATTTGAATATATAGGTAGCACCACCTGTACTTAAGGTTGCTTTTATTACAAGACTGTTTCCAGTTGCTTATAACTTTGCCAGATTTTAACCATTTGGGCTGAAATTTTCCATGATGGCTGTCTGCCTCAGGCTGAATCTTCCCTTTTTCTTCCCTCCCTCCCCCCATCGCACCCTTCGGAAAGTTTAAACGAAAGCCATTCAGGCATTTCTAGGAAGAAGATTTTAGAAGAAAATACTATTAGAATTGTTATATTATTATTAGAATTTGACAGCTAAAATCTACAGAGATTCTGTCAGCACTGAGCATGTTCCATCCCCTCACAGCTCCTACCTGACGACTTGGACTGCATGTGTACCATCCCTACAGAGCAACTGAGGCTAGGTCTACACTACCCACCTGAATCGGCGGGTAGAAATCGACCTCTCGGGGATTGAATTATCGCGTCTCGTCGGGACGTGACAATCGATCCCCGAATCGACGCTCTTACTCCACCAGCGGAGGTGGGAGTAAGCGCCGTCGACGGGAAGCCGCAGAGGTCGATTTTGCCACCATCCTTACAGCGGGGTAAGTCGGCTGCGATACGTCGAATTCAGCTATGCTATTCACGTAGCTGAATTTGCGTATCTTAAATCGACCCCCCCCCCTGTAGTGAAGACATAGCCTGAGTGTGCTCCAGCCCAGGGCTGCAGGGGCTGAGCAGGACTTTGCCTACAATTGCTGCTCTCAGATGCAGGGGATTGTGGTGGCACCATACACAGGAACTGACCACAGGGAACCTGTGTCTCCTGTCCTCTCAATTACTCCCTGTCCCCCATTCCCCACTGATTACCCCAGCAGCATGGAGGAGAAAACAGCCTTACTTGTATGAGGAAGGGGACAAGAGCTGGACTGGGGGGGGTAAAGAGGGGGAAGGAGGGTCAGCAGTGTCGGAAATAGATTGGGACACAGAGCCGGGGAAAAATGGGGAGGGTCGAGTGTTAGTGGGGGTGAGGGAAAACTTAGATTTGATGTGGAGCAGGGTGGGTGGGAGGAGACTGTCCCTGTCTGCGCAAACAGACTGGGATTGGGAGCCGTTTGGATGGGGAAAAGACAGATTGGACTGAGTTGCTCTAAACGGCAATTGAGGCACTTGACTGCAGATCCCAGAATCATGGGAATAAAGGAATTGTGAAGCCATCTTCTCCTCCACCCACCCTGTGTGGAGCAGAGCTCAGCCAGATTGTAGAACCTGGGTTGGCTCTTAGTTTGTTGATATTGAATAATTCTACTGTTTTTGTCTTTTTAAAACTGCTAATGGGAATTATAGTTAGACTGGGAGACATAAATCCAGGTCTCTGGTTGTATTTTATAGAGCATAAATGGAGGGAAAGACCAAGCTCTGCTCTTTCCACTGAGGCACTATAGAACTTGAGGGAACATAGTGGGATGCAGAGGGGCAAAATGGCAGAAGGATGGGAAACCGTTACTTCACCTTTCATATTGGCGAAGCACATTTGATTGCAGTTTATTCTGCTTGGTTTATTTTATTTTAAAAGGAGCCTGAATCAAATGCCCTTAAACTTTGAGGAGGTTTAGATCTGATCTATGTGGTTCAGATCCATCTCTAATTTTAGTGAAATACTGATAATTTGATCACAAATGTATTAATTTTCAAAAATACCAGCATAAAGTTTTTGCCTGTAAAAGTGAGGGAGGTGTCCCCTACATATAACTATGCATGAAAAATATCCCCAAAATTTGCAAATATGATTAATTGTCTTGCACCAAAAACAGTATAATGCTGCACGCACAGTTGACTCTTTTGCACTCACTTGCATGTGTTGTGGGTGCAGTTTAGATGATTTTTTTTTTTTAAAGTTTTGACCAACATAAAGATTACTTGTTGCAACTATTCAACTTCTGAAAATCTTCATTAGAAATACTTTAACACAACAAACTCAGTGCAAATTGTGACCATGCTAGGAAATTCATGTTAACTGAGGCAGTAATGGCCCCCAAGGAATTTTTAGTCCTTACTACTTATCAAATAATCTTTCACATACATTGTGGTAAAGAGCTGCAATATTTCTCTTAAAACAGTAATTTGTTGTTCCTTTGCTCCTCTCTTTCTTTCTATCCCTGATAAACATCAAAACTGTGAATGGAAACACCACCAAAAATAATCAGTGCTTTTGTAGTCTCCCTGGAGAAAAATCTCTCTCAAGCTCCTTAGCCAATACTGGCTGGGTGAGGGATTACTCAAAACCAAAGCATCTACTACAATTAATTTGTTGTTAATATTATTAATATTGACCTTTGTAACAGGACTTGGATTCCATTTAAAGGATTAAATAAACAAAACCTTTGTCACATTATTTGACTGCTATCCGTAACCATGAAAATGTTGACCATCTGTGTGGTTCTACACGATGTTATTAACATGTCCTTCTTTTTCTTCTCCTCCTCTTCCTCCTCTTGGGGGAAAAATAGCTGACGAAGTGGAAAGACTGGCTGCAATGCGTTCAGACTCTCTAGTACCAGGCACCCACACTCCTCCAATCAGGCGAAGAAGTAAGTTTGCCAATATAGGAAGGATTTTCAAGCCATGGAAATGGAGGAAGAAGAAGAGTGAAAAGTTCAAACACACTTCTGCAGGTAATAAACATGCGTTGGTTGACTGTTTTTAAATTGTTTGTTCAAATGGGCTGAAAACAGTACAGAGTCATTAATAAGTAATGTAGGCACAAAAAGTGATCAACATAAAACTATTATAACTTTGTTGGAAATGTCCTCCAAATTCTAAAAAGATTTATCACTTTGTTCTGGGCATTTTTTTAAAAATCCCATTTTTGTGTGATGCATTAAAAAACAATGGAACAATTTTGAAGGGCCAAAGCTTGCCAGAGCTGGGTACGCAACCTCTGATATTAGCGAAGCTCAGAAAAAGAAAGTAAACCAAATGAAGTCATGTTGGCTTCTGTTCTACGAGAAACATAGAGGGAGAGAGGTCAGAGTAACTGGTAAAATCAAGAGAGAACATCAGTGGAGAATGCAGTTGCTTTCAAATGTTGTAAAGGTTTTTACAAATAATGAAGAATTAAAATAATAACTGGGAAAAAGCAGTTAAGACAATTTTACTTTTATATAACTGATATGATAACAAATTCTTCATTCCACTGGACTGGAATGACCAGTATCCCTTCTTGAGACAAACAAGGCTCTCCTTTCTCCATGCCTTTCTCAGATTCCCACTCTTGGGCATTTTTTATAAAAAGGTATTGAAAATTGCAAAAGCATGTTTTCGTATCAGAGAGAGGGCTGAGCCAATACCCCAGATCCAAACACTAACTTTGGGGAAGCGTGGATCTGGATTTGAACTCAGACCCTTCTCCATTTTGTATCTATGAACCTTCTCCCCACTGCCCCTATGATGATTTTGAGATGGCTGTGGCAAAATAAAAATTTTCACCTCAGACCTCTTTATGAAGATAGACCCAGAAACAGAATGCTATGGATCTCACACTTCAAGGTGCCAACAGGGATCTCACACTTGACCCCTCCCCTGTCTACAACACGGTGAAAGTTTATAGTGTAGACAAGACTTAACTGTGCACTGTGATCCTCCAGGCCCTTACTTGTGTCCAGTGGTCCTTACTCACCAACAAGCAGCATTTAAGAGGGAATTCTCACATGAGTGTGAGGTAATTTCACAAGTTAGGGTTTGCAGGGTGAGCGCCTAAAACCACTCTTCAACTACATGGCTTTACAACTTCTGCCTGGTCTGACAGGCAGAGACAAATGAATTGGAATAAGTGGCTGTGTTGCTCTGAGTGACTATCTTTTTGGCTTGACAGTTGTCAAAGTGACATGATTTTGCAAAACAAATGGCCTGCCCTTCGTGTTCTGTCATCGCTGTAGTTCTCTGTAGCACAATTTCTGTGAGACTCTCATAGCTCTTTTGAAACCCAATTACTAAAACATTTTAGTAACCACACAGAATAAAAACACAGCAAAATATTTCCCTCTCTTTTTTGTAGAATAAAGGTAGATACATAACAGGAAAGCCACCACAAGTTAAGTCTCCATTGATGATAAGAGAGACTGATCTAGTGTCTGATGCCTTGAATCTCACAAGGGTGATCCCTTTAATTTTTCTGGTAAATCAAAAGACAAACACGCGAAATGGCATAATGAGAACCAGTAAGTAACTTCCTATTATAGGTTATCTGTCTCTGGTGCATTGATAAATGTGACTTTAAAAAAAATGCCATTAATCTCCTAGGGGAATCCACTCCAGCTTTTCATAAAATCACGAATTATAAAAAGATATTTTGCTCTGCCTCTTCTAGCTACAGCAATAGATTCCAATGTTTTCAGTCTCCACGTTGGTGATAGATTGTTATGGACCAAATCCTTAGGTCCCCTTACTCAGTTCTAGCTTCCATTGAGGTTAAAGGAAGTTTTGCCTAGGAAAGGACTGATTTTTAAGGACTAAGAGTTGGCTCTGTTTGAGGTGCCCAAGGCTAATCACTTATACCTATTTTTATTTATTTAGATTTAAAATTCCATGCCAAAGACTTCCCAGCCAGAGAGCTGAGATCCCTCAAAATATATGTTTAAAAGCACAATAAAGAAAAGTTACTTTATTTAGAAAGAAAAGGTTTTATTAACTGATTCATGATAGGATTAAATAATTAGAGAAGCCCTAGCTTGAATTATGTTTATTACACATGGCATATCTCAATACACCAATATTCACCTTGTGGTGCTTATCATTTCATGGTCTCTATCTTCATTGCTAAGGTGTCTCCGGGAATCAAAGATGAAGAGGGTTTATGTGTTTCTGTAATCCCTGCCCACACAGTGTGGCTGTTTGTCTCCTTCTAGTGACTGGACCATACACAGCAATTTATGAATCTGCTACTGCCTCTGTGCTAATGTACCTGGTCCTATAGCTAAGCAGTAGAGGCTCATGTTTTTTGATCTAGAGGTCTAGGGTTCTTTCCTTGCAGGTAACCCATCCATGGGCATCATTGCACTTCCTATAGTTTAAAGTGAATGTGAAAGAGAACACATTTTAAAATTATTCATTCTTGTAAGTGTAAATATTAGATTGGCCCAAACATACTCTTTGATCAAGGGCTGGATCCAGATCAGGAGTTCAGGTGACACACACATTTGCAGATGATACAAAAATTGGGGGAGTGATAAATAATGAAGAAGATCAGTCACTGGTATAAAGCAATCTGGTTAGCTGGGCTCAAGCAAACTATACATGTTTTAATATGGCTAAATGTGAACGTCTACATCTAAGAACAAAGAATGTAGGCTATACTGATAGTATGGTAGACTCTATCCTGGGAAGTAGTGATTCTGAAAAGATTTGGGAGTCATAGTGAGTAATCCGATGAACATGAGCTCCCAGTGCAACACTGGCCAATCCTTGGATTCATTAACAGGGGAATCTGGACTATAAATAGAGAGGTTATTTTACCTCTGAATTTGGCACTGATGCTCCGATTACTGGAATACATTTCCCATTCCACGGTTCAAAGGTTGTGATAAATTGAAGAGGGTTTACAGAAGAGCAATGAGAATGATTGAAGGATTAGAAAACACACCTTATTATTGACTCCAAGAGCTCTGTCTACTTAGTTTTAACTAAGAGAAGGTGAAAGGTGACTTGATTAAGGTTCATAAGTATCTACATGGGGAACAAATATTTAAAAATGGGCTCTTCAATCTAGCAGAGAACAGTGTGATGTAATTCAATTGTTGGAGATTGAAGTTAGACAAATTCAGACTGGAAATAAGGCATCACTTTTTTAAAAGTGAGTGTAATTAATCATTGGAACAATTTACCAGGAGTTGTGGTGGATTCTCCATCACTGACAATTTTTAAATCAAGATTGGATATTTTTTTCCCTAAAAGGTCTGTTGTAGGAATTATTTTGGGAAGTTCTGTGCCCTGTGTTATACAGGAAGTCAAATTAGATTATCACAATGATACCTTCTGGCCTTGAAATCTATGACTATGGGATTTGATTTGCGTACACCTCATGTTTTAAAATGAACACTGCTGAGGAGATTTTCAAAACAACATACAGCAAGTTATAGGGGGGGAAAGTGTAATTCTTTCCAGAGCAATTATTTTCAACAGCTGGGATATAAAACCCTTTACAGTAGAAATTTCTACTGGAATTTCTTTGACAGACACTGTTACCAGGCTGGAACATAAATTTTTATAGCAGAGCCACACTAGAAAGTTATAACATGAAATTAGACTCGGCCACACTTTAACTACAGCACAAATAAAAGTTTTAAAAAATAAAATGAAGTTTAAACAATTTATCAAAAGCTTCATCTTCTCCAGAAAGCATTATAACCTTAATTACCATGAGGGGTGAAGGCCTTTGGCAGCAGTTGGATACAGTTGGGAGTCATAGCTGGGAACATAATAAAATTCTAAATGGCAAAATTGTAACACTTGATGGGGCTGTTTCTTTTAACTTATAAGAAGCAGTCTAACTGATGGCTAAGGTTAAGATTTTGTCACAGATATTTTTAGTAAAAGTCACAGACAGGTCAAGGGCAATAAACAAAAATTCACGGAAGCCTGTCCTTGACTTTTTTTTATTTAAAATGCCCTGTGGGGGGATTAACTATCGGAGTCCTGCTGGGGGCTGACCTCCAGCCCCCGGGGGCTGCTGCTCCTGCTCTGGCCCCCAGGCAGCTGACCTATCCCCGACACTACTCCGGCCCCTGGGGAGCCACTGCTCCTGCACTCCTGAGTGGGGGCTTACAGGTGCTTCAGCCCCACTGCTGCAGCAGGCTGAAGCGGAAGACGTCACGGAATCTGTGACCTCCATGACAGAATCAATCCTTACTGATGGCAAAAGAAGCCGACAATGAATCTTCTCCCCTCTGACAAAGTTCCTCTGCTGGATTATGCCTGTGCTACCTTAATTTGGCCCCCTTGTGTGGATGCATTATGATACAGTTTTTATTTAAATGATCACTTGCTATTTTTTTCCATTTGCTGAAACTTGGCATTTAGTCTTCCAGACCAGAAAAAAATTGTTCTACAAAATATGATTCAAGTCAGTTGGATTATTTAAGTTGTCTCCCAAAATCCAGTTGGCCAATGTGTCTTTTAACTTAATAATATGTACATTTAAAGGCTTTAATTGGATAATAAGAATCAAGTAGGAAACTAATAAAGTCAGCCCAGTGAGCGGGACCATTGTTTATAAGCTATATCAAGCTCACTTTATCCCAACAGTTGGTTACCTCTGACCAGATCCCTCTGTAACTGGCTAATCTTTTGAACTCTGCATTCCAGTATCTTCCAGACTTTAACTAGTAACTAGACAGTATTGCCACGGTTCTGACAGATCCTCATCCCACAGTGCCAGTTGTAAAATGATAAATGTAGTCTTTGTGGAAGGCTACAATTCTAAGTGTCTGTGAGAAAGTTGATGCTTACTCCTTGAGTTCCTTCTTTACATTTGCAGATTCAGTTTGGACAATAATATTTGCACTGCTATCACTGTGCTAGTTAACAAAGATAACAGTCCTAGTTTTAATAAACTATATAGTTCCATTCTCTTTCCCTGAAATTTCATCTTATAACAACTGGCCAATGTGTCTCTTCA